ACTATCTCTATTTAAAAAAGGTTAAGGGAGTAGTTGTCAGTTATCATTTAAAGTAGGGGTTGAAATTTTTATACCAGATAGTATCATTTCAAAAAACAACAATCGACGAGTTTCAGAATTTTTCTTAAAAATTGATAATAACGCAAAAAACGAATTTATCCGTTATATATGGACCGCAGTGCATATTGTTGCACATTCTTGAAATCGAAAAAAAGAATGGAAATTCGATTCTAAAATAAAATATAGGGTGTTCCGTTTAAAAAACCAGTTTTATTTCATTTAGTTAAAAAAAATGACATAATCTTTGTGTATCCTCTAATGTCTAAGCTATATTTTCTTCAAAGTGCTTTGTTAAAATTTTTGAAAAAAAACATCAGTCATATTCGGTATTGAAATTTTAAAATATGTTCATAAATAGCTTTTCTATATTATCAAATACGTTTACCACCAGCAGACATTTTATTTTATTTTTAAATCAAAATAACTGCATATCTTTAAGGATTTTAGGCACACCGTTAAATCAAATAACGCAATTGTTGTGCAAAAAGTTTTTAATATGGCTGTTTTATGAACAGGAATCGAAAATAATTGTTTATGTCTGATATTATACTATAAATGCTGAGGAGGGGAAAGTGTACACAATCATTTACGCAAAGTCTAAACGTTTCTACATGAAAATGTTAGGGACTGTAAAAACATTGTTTTCATAATAATATCCTTACAACTTTTACTATATTTTAAGTTAAGGATTAATCTTAGCAATCTTCTTTGGCAAACAAAGAACCGTTGTAAGTGACTTCATCCCCATCCCCAGATTAGTTATGTTTAAAGACAGATGTGAATATGCTAAAACGTAGTAACAATTTAAGAGACATCTGCACAATTGTGTTTTTAACTAAAATCGTAGTATTATCTGCATATTTCGTAATAATGCCATGTTTAATATCAAAAATCAAAAATAGTAGAGGTTCTAAAATTGAGCCTTGAGGAGGTATTTTAGAGTATGACTTTTAGGATGGTATATTCCTATTTTTATAAACTAAAGTTTCTACTATTAATTCTAGAATACCCTGTACATAATTCTTGCCAATAATAATTGTTTATGGGGTAGCAATATTATTATTAAAATATAAGAAAAATAAACTGAATATGTAAACATTTTTAACAAAGGTGTCTAAAATATAATAAAGAAATAAAATTCTTATCAAATAAAAATGTTTAATTAACTTAAATATAAGAAAACATTACTGTTATTACTTATTAAAATCATAGTCATCATTAGTGTCATCACTTATCCTGAATTAGATATTTGTCAAAACTTTTATTATCTAGATAGTTTTTCAACATCATACTGTCGTGACTGTTAGAATTTCCTATCACATAGTTATTTTAACAGTGCTAAAGAAAAGGGTATTTAAGCCGAAAATGTTTAATAAACTTATACATATATACTCTAAAATGCTTATTAATAAAGCTACAGTTGTTTATATAAATATCTAAAGAAATAATTCAAATAATTTTTTTCGAATTTACTTAAACGTTTCTTAAACAAAAAGCAAAGAAAGTCTACCCGAAATAGTGTTCTTTACGTAGGTAGGTGTATGTCAAATGAAATATCCAAAATTATCCCGAGCAAAAGGTGATGTGTTCCCCCAACCCATCTTCTTTTTTAGAGGTAAAAAATGAAATTTTCTTAAAAAAAACACTAATAGCTCGTTGCATTTTTTATGTAAAAACGTCAGAAGTCAAATGGTTCTCTACATTGAATTTCATATCGAAAAAGGCCTGTCAGGTTTTAAAAATATTTTTGTTAACTTACAGATTTAGTAAAATAAAAATACGTATTTTTCAAGAAATTGGAATTTTTTATTGGTACATTTTTTTACTTTTCTAAAAACTAATATATGGACGAAAGTAAATCCTATGTTTTCTTTATATAATAATTTGTAATGACTATTTATATTTTTATTTATTGAATAATTAAAAAATATACAATATCATCATTTATTTAATAAATCCAAATAGATATTTAATGTCGAATTCTAATAAAAAGAATCTATAATTAATTATGCAATAAAAATAAATAATGACAATGTAAGAAATAACTACTAATAAAATAAAAATTATAATACCAAAATATTCCAACAGAAAGGGTAAAAGTTAATTTACAAAATAGTAATTAATACTGGAAATAATACTTAAATAGGGACGAAAATCGAAATACTCCTAATTTATTTAATTGAAAAAAAATTTGCCTACACACACTTCTGAAGTTGAAGTCAACTCCATCTACCAGTGTCAAATAAAATGTAATTAATACAAATCTGAAAAAAGCCCGACAAGCCATATCTACTAATAAAGGTATAATAAAAATTATAATACCAAAGTATTCCAACAGAGAGGGTAAAAGTCAATTTACAAAATTGTAACGAAGTGATTATTTTATAGAATTAAGTTAGGTAACTAGGTGCTATTTGTCTGTTCCGAAAGATGTTTTAAACATTGTAGTACTGCGCCCTTAATAGTGGTATTGTCAGCTGCTCCTTAATAATAGTTTAATTATTAATTATAGATAGGTAGTATTGATCTGTTCGTATAAACATTCCACATATGCCGAGTGGCAGGCAGTACGTGAATCGTGGAACGCAAAGCGCGCATATTGCCCCCGGCACTCCTGCGCCCGTCCTACCGTGAAGGACTCCGAGACTGGAAACAACAATAAATTGAATGCGGAATTATTCTAAGTCGGGAAACAGGTGACGTAGTTGCAATATTCCACGCATGACTACCGCGTCCTCCTACTTCTGCTTTTGGCAGAGTTCAGTAGCTTGAGGATTTTTCAAACAAGTCAGTTGCCGTTTAGCTGCTGACTGAAGAACCACGCCGACCAGCATAGTAAGTAATCTTGTTGTGAGTATAAAGGTATAAGTTTGTTTTAAATTGAATTCGGGTGACGTATTGCCATATTCCGCGCATGCCCACCGCGTCTCATCCTCTTCTGCTTTTGGCAGAGTTTAGTAGCTTGAGAATTTTTCAGAGCATCCAGGACAGTACGTTGCTGCCGCCCGTACTGACCAGACGTGCCGACACCGACCGCTCCAGAGAGGAAGCAGCCCAGGATACGGAAGTAGGTAGCAAGGTTTGATAAAGGTTTGGTAAATACTCGGTATTACTTGGCTGGTGAGTACTTTTCGGACCATTTTTAGAGTTTGTGAACCGTGAGCGCTAAGACGTATCCGCCTCATATCCTTCCATAGATCGGGAGAGCGGCCGAAGGTTGGAATCAGAACCGCGTCATACCGCGTGCCCTCCAGGCCACCTGAGCACGTAAAAATTCTGCAGGGTGATTTGGAGGTACTATCATTTGCCACCGCGTGTCCTCTAGGCCACCTGAGTAAGTAAAAATTCTGCAGGGTGACTTAGAGGTACTTTCGTAACCGCGTGCCTGCCAGGCCACCTGAGCACGTAAAAATTCTGCAGGGTGACTTGGAGGTAGCGTCCGTAACCGCGGGTCCGCCGGACTACCTGAGCACATCATATTCTGCAGGGTGGCTGGAGTTTGACCTTACCGTAGTCGTCTTAAATTTGCAACTGTTAGGCTTGCCACTCCTTCCCCCCCAACCGTAACCGCGTGTCCTCCAGGCCGCCTGAGCACATCATATTCTGCAGGGAGCCTTGGAGGTACTAGATTTGGCATACCATAAGTCCAGAACCATCCATCAGCCAAGCGATAGTAAATAACCGCTATAAATAGTCATAGTGTGCTTGTATTGGCGCTTGCTTCCCCTCCTGGTATCCGTCCGCCGTCTGCTTATGGCTGTTTAAGTATTGCTGGTTACCTTTTTCACCGCTTAATCTCCGTATTACCGTGTCGCACCGCTTATACGCCCGCTTACTGCCCCCGCTCGCCCGTAGTTAAGACCGTTGTAGTATAAGTTGTAGTTACTAAGGTGTATATATAGTGTAAATAATAATTAGTGTGTAGAATAAATGTAAATATATTGAATGAGAGTCTGTTCATTAACTGTAGTGTGTAAGTTACCTTTTCCCGACCCCTGGCTTATCCGTTTCTTCACTGTAGTTGCCCGGCCTCTATCGTCTCGCCGATAGAGTAAAGTGGTGTTTCTGCACTCTAAACAGAAACTGGCGCCCGAGATATCCGTACCGTGAGCACCGCCGTAGTGTTGGGCGTCAAAGTGACACTTCTGCTCTTGTGTAGAGCAGCGAAGTACGTCACAAAATAGTAATAAATACTAGACATAATACCTCAATAGGTATCAACTCATTAGTACTCTGCTTTCGTGTAGAGACTAGTGATTCTGAAATTGTTCTTGCTGTCATTATGTATATACCTATTTCGCACTAATGAAGGCAAAAACTAGAAACCAGTCTGTGAATGGTATGCACGACGCCCTCCCCCAAACAACTATATAACTACAGACATCTGTTACGGAGTTATTGCTCCTCATCGGCGCAGCGTAGCTAACGAATTGGATGTAGGATGGGACAGATCAGGAACAACAACTAACATAAGGCTGAAAATACAGTACACAGCACTCAATTATTGCCTTCATGTTCCCATGTGCCACATTTGGGGTTTCGATGAGCACAGTTGACACATAGAGCTCTATGTGCACTGTCCGTTTCCACCTGACAATCTCCGAAAACAAAAACAACTATGCAGCTATGGACACGTGTTTTAAAGTTGTTACTCCTCATCGGCGCAGCTTAGCTAAGAATTAGATCTAAGATGGAATAAACGGGCAGTTCACATAGAGCCCTATGTGTCGACTGTGCTCATCGATGCCTCACGTGTGATACATGGGAACATGAAAGCATTAATCGAGTACTGTGTACTGTGCTTTCCAGCCTTATGTTAGTTTTTGTTCCTGATCCATAATAATAATAATTTATTTATTTGTGATTTCCAAATTGGTGCAAGATATACGTATGTCGTACCCCACACACTTGTATTTACAACAAAATGTCAGCATTAATCCTAGCTTCTAGACAGGGGATTGAACCCGGGACTCCAGAGTGAGAGGCAAGTGTCTACCACTTGACCACGAAGCCACATTTATCGCAGTTTTTTTTGGGACATTCTTTTTAGAACATTAACTTACAATTAAATAAACAAACGTTTTAAAAAATATGAACGTTTAATAAACGGCCTTTCAAACAACTAAATAAAGCAATATTTATATTATCTGTCGCGCTTGATAACTCAATTAATATTATTTGATATAACCGAAATCTTTCTCCTGAAAATTCTTACATTTTTTGTAATAAATCATTATACCAAAATTTAAATATCTTGAAGAATAACTGAATGAGCATGAAGTCATGTTTTTGACAATTCCGAAATTTTAAAATGGATAATTATGAAAAAAGCCAGTGTATAAAAAAGCTGTATTTTATCAATACCTAACATTTTAGGATGCTCATTTTCCCAGACATAACGGACTAAAAACTGGTATGGTTAAAATGTCCGTAAAAACTGGAACATTTTTACCTTTGCCAATTCTCAAAACTAGTCAACGTAAATTATTCAAATTTCAATGAGGTGTGTTCACTACGTTTATTTATAGAATTTTTCATAATAAATTTGTTCTTAGAATAAGAATAAATTTTACTTATTGTTTTTTTTTGCGCAAGCACAATCTGGAATGTCCTTCCATGGCCTCCGATATCACACAGGAGAAACACCACTGAATTACCTACAAACACTCCTCACATCCCGCAGAGTTAGTTAGTGACTGTAGATTTCGGAATCGTGTGCCCTAAATAGACAAAGGACAATTATTCTTAGTTTTTTTTTTAATAAAAATGTAATAAAAAATCTAAAATACTAGTATGATGTTAATTTGTATCAAATGAGTGAATTTTCCTGTCACTAAGAACAGTAATCACAAAGGTACAGGGTAAGACACATAAACTATGCCCCTCCCCATTTTATTGTTAATTCTAAAAATATGTGATAGTTGTATAAGAGGAGAGGCCATCTTATGATGGAATTTGGTAAGTAAGTTAAATTTGAGCTCAAATATAAAATTTAACCAAAAATGTACAGGTTAATTAAACATGTTTTTTTGTAAATGGCACACCCTATATATTTTTTGATAAATTGACAGAGCCCATTGAGGCGATTCCAAAAATATGTAACTGCAATATATTTGCTTCAAAAATAAGGCAGATAGCTATTACTAAAAAGAATGGTCAAATTTTATAATAATTCAAGCGAGATTTCTGTCATTTAGTTTCTCAAATAACAATTTCTATATAGAATAATAAAATTACAAATAAAATGAAAATAAAATTAAATAAAAAAAAAAATAACGGAAATGTATAATAATTATAAAATTTTATCATTCTTTTAGTAGTACTTTCTTTATTTATGAAGCAAATATATTACCGGTATATATTTTTGAAATCGCCTCAGTGGGCTCTGTCAAATTATCGAAAAATGCAGAATGTGAAATTTAAAGAAAATACGTATTTTTGATCAACCTGTATATTTTTGCTAAATTTTAAATTTGAGGCCAGATTTAGAATCTACGAAAAAATTCCATAAAAACCACTAGAAAATATTTTTAGAATTAACAACAAAAATGAAAGGGACATTTTATATTGATTTACCCTGTACATACAAAATAAAATAAGAATAAACTGTGTTTACGATGACGCTTCTCTTTTTTTATTGAATACTGCTGCATTAAGTACTCCTAGTACGATTGGCATAAGTTAATTCACTTGGCATTTTTGAATATTGTACTTTTAATGTTCATACTAGATGTTCTTACTAGAATACTCGATATCAAACGGGACCATAAATTACATTAAATAAACGAATAGGTGGTGAATGTCGCTGTGTTTTTAGTTTTTCAATTTCCATATTTTGAAATTTTGAAAATAGGTAGAAAAAAAATCTATTTTTTTTTCAAAAAATCCCACACAGTGACACAGATTGAACTTTTGTCTATATGTCCTCCAAATTTCATATTCATATCTACTCTAATAACGTCACAGTTATCTGGCTACAAATTCATGTTTTTCGCAACTTTTATGCCACTGTCTTAATCCTTTTTGGTACAGGTTTATTTAACTATTATTTTTTTAAATAATGTATAGGACAATGGCTTAATACCCAAAGAAGGTGAGAAGAAACATTATAAGATGTGACATTTAGATAACTATATACAATACCTAATTTTTATTATACAGTTTTATTTCGAATTGTCGTTTGAACTTTCGGTATAACTTTTATCAGAACGTTCATACTCATTTTTGAAATTTCCATTATTCTCTTCAGAACTTTCATTATCATCATCAATAATTTGCGATTCACCTTCAATAAAATTATCAATATAACTTTCAAATCTTCGATTAGATCTAAAGGTGTGTTTATTTTGGGACAGCGATAAAAGCTATAAGAGCGGCGATAAGCGCGAGGATAAAAGCGATTCAAATCTATCTTTCTTTGATCTGTTTATAGTGGAACTATGATGAGAGTATTGTTCTAATTGTAGACTGATGTGAACCATTTTTAAAATGAGCGATTTAGGGGAAAAATACTAGTATTTTCAAAAAAAAGTCAAATCCTGCACATCCTGTTACCACTAAACCATATTTTTGGGAATTCCATCATTCATTTAATGACTTGAGGGGGCATAAAAGAAACATTTTTTTATACATATACGAATGACGACGATTTCTATCTCTATTTAAATTGCGCTAATTAATTTTTCAACTTCCACCTCGATACAATAGCAAAATACAAATTTGTCGCTCTCGGTACTCTTATCGCTGGTCAACCACTAAGCCTAATTTTGCGCGCTGCTTCAATATATAACATACGAATCAGTGCATTGTTTCCCACTATTTCGCTAGTATCGCCGCTCTTGTTGTTTATCACTGCTCCAACATAAACATACCCTAAATCTTATAGATCATCAGGTTTAGTAAGGTTGGATGCCATTTTCACAATCTTTGCCAGTGCATATTCCACACATTATAGAGCATCACAGTCCAGCCATTCTGCAACCACATATTGGTCCTCATTTTGAGCACTTGCAAACAATAATCGTCTCATACTGGATTACTTTCCAAAGGTGTAGAAATTAAATCATTATATGTCCTATCCCACCCCCAATCTTGAGGATGCAAAGTTTTGTTATGCAAGTTTTAACTTGGCGATAAACACGTTTAGAGTGTACACTTGCCCTTTTTTGAAAAATGTGTTTTTATTTATTAAATTTGTAAATTTACTAAAAATAATTTTAAAACCTAACGAGAGAAAATTCAATTTGGAAAATCTTTTGACTTGTTTTTTCTTAAAAGTGATAGATAAAGAGTCATTAATGGTTTTTTAAGAAAATCTCCCTTTTTACTCCTAAAAGTGGGGTGAGGGGTAGCATAGAACCTTTTGCTCGGCATGTTTTTGGATACTTTTATATAAAATAACACCTACTTACATAGGGAGCACGGAGCACTGCTATTCCGGGTAATTTTTTTTTCTAGGCCAAATGAAGCTCAGCCTGAGGAGTCAAAACAAATTAGTAGAAGAGTGTTATAGTTTTAATACTGTTTTAATAAAATATTGTTTTATTAAAACGGGATGCATCATTATTGCAAAAACGTTTTCAACAAATGATTGTCATTTACTTATATTGACGTTGTCTTCTTGGTTATAAATGATAAAAACTAAATACTAAAATTTGTACATCAAAACGGATCTTCAAATCACGTGTTTCCTAGAAGCTGGTGTACTAAACACTTCAAATTTTTGTAACACGTAAATAAAGTTGATGTGAATTATATACGATGACTATTATATTTATAAAAAAAAAATTTGCTGAAAATCATTTTGTCTAATGGCATTGATTGGAAGGTAAATAATAAGACATTGCAAAATGTGTATCAAAGAAAATAATTCGCACTTTGAGCACCTTATTTGATATTTAAAATTTAATTTAAGGCCTTACTTTATTATATTTTCATGTTAAAAATTTTTTCTTGCGTTTCCTAGATTTGTATTTAATATCTTAAGTCTCACAGCAAACTATTTTTTATATATTAATTTACAGGGTGATTCGCATACCGAAAATTTTAACAGTCGATAGATTTCAACGAAATGAGGTTATTTTGTGATATAAACTTCTTTCACGAGTCCTTCGGTTTCGAGATACAAGTGCGTTGAAAAAATTAATTTTTTACTGTTTTTATTTTTATCTTTTAAGCTAAAATACGGTGATTTTCATTTTTGCTGAGATATTTTATCTTCCAAGTTCGGAATGTGCATTTTATCAAACCAGGTGTTTGATTTTTTTTTACTATGCTGAAATTAAATATGCGATTTTTCTCAAAACTCGTTCCTCCTATAAAAAAAAATTTGTAATAATCTTTTTTTTTACTTTTATTATCAGTAAATTAAGTTCATTTATCACTGTTTATTTTTTGTATTCTTATCGTTAATACATTTGTATTATCAGCAATAATACAGTTTATAAATTTGTATTAAATGATCTTTTCTATCCTTATACAAATTGTTCTTTTTGATTACCTTGGTTGTCTGTGCCCTGAGATACACAAATAAATATTAAAATAACTATTTATAGTGTTCGAGAGAAGCTCCCTTTTTTGTAAAGAACTGGTTTTGGCAAATCAAAAAAAAAATTCAAACTTCTGCCATGGGACACCCTGTAATTATACATTTCTATGCAACGTTTTCTAATAGAGACTAACATTTTTTTTTCGTAATTCACTAAACGAAGATATTTTTACTTCACCCGTGGACACCCTGTATATAAACTTAAATTTAAATGGTTATTTAAGAGTTTTAAGAGAAGCAGAATTTGTTATATAGATTGACTTTTTTTCGTAAATGATTAAATAAAGAAGTTTTTCCTCTTGGCAACCCCATCCGTGGTCACACTGTATATTTACATCAAATTTAGCTGTTTTTGGCAAGTTAGAAGGATACCTCCCAATTTACTCCGTTGTAACTCGAATAGTATTTATTTGACAACAAATTGTTACAGAAAACTATATTCTCTACAGTTTTTTCTTATTAATAC